TTGGATTGTTTGTGCATGAAAGTGTTGCTTTAAAGATTGCACCTGCAAATTAACACTGATACTGTAGAAAGATGTTGCATTGTAATGGAGATAGGTTGCAAAAAGTGTTGCTTTAAAGATTGCACCTGCAAATTAACACTTTGCACCACTCTGATACGTATTGCTGTCCAACAGCATGCTAAACTTCAGAGAAGAGGGAAAAGTGGTGTCACATATTTTGGAAAGAAAAAGAGAACCCCTATTAAGCTGCTCTTGTGGATTATGTTACACCAGGGAAGATGAGTCACAGCAGAACTTAAAAATTTACTTTTTTTAAAGATTGCACCTGCAAATTAACACTTTGCACCACTCTGATACGTATTGCTGTCCAACAGCATGCTAAACTTCAGAGAAGAGGGAAAAGTGGTGTCACATATTTTGGAAAGAAAAAGAGAACCCCTATTAAGCTGCTCTTGTGGATTATGTTACACCAGGGAAGATGAGTCACAGCAGAACTTAAAAATTTACTTTTTAGCCTGTGCCAATCATTCAGCCAAAAGAGTAATTCTCCCATTAACTTGGAGGTTCTGGGAGTTATAGTCCAATAAATTAACTTGCCAATCTCTGCTTCCTAATCAGTACAGATATATAAAATTCCAACGCACATTCACTGAAACATAATAGTTATTTAGTAGGCAGATATATGTCAAATTAACTATTTGAAAAGGACATTGTACTTATTATTGTTTGATAAGGAAATTTAAATTTATGATACAGAGGAACCGTATGCTCAACAGCTAAGTGGATTTTTAAAAAAGGAGCAAGACCTTTTTTTAAAAAAAAATAAATGGTTCTTTATCTACAAGACCAAATCACATAGAAAGATGTTGCATTGTAACGGAGATAGGTTGCAGCAATATAATTTTTGTTGTTACATGCCACCAAGTCACTTCTGACTTATGCAGTCCCATGAATGAGTGGCTTCCAAAGTGTCCTCTTGTTGCCAGTCCTGCTCAGCTCTTGCAAACTCAGGGCCATGGGGAAAAAAACCGAAATGTTTGTTATATTGTATTTATCTCCCATTTTTTTTCTTCAGTGAACTCAACATGGCAAAAATGGCTGTACTTGTTTTCACATTACTTTCACAACGGCCCTGTGAGGTAGGTAAGGCTGATAGAGAATGACTGGCTTAAGTCCACCTAGTAACTTTCATGGGTTAGAAGCTCAAGTTCCCAAGCCTCATCTCAATTAGTTGGTAATGCTATGGCCCAAAATTTCTGGAGGACTCCTCATTGGGCAGCACACTGACCGACAACTCCAGGGTCTGGAATATAGACTGCTCTTGGGTGTCTTGGATGTCTAAGTTTTTCAAAAAAACTTGCTTCCTCCCTCTGCCCCTCCACAGGGGAGAAGAGAAAGTTTTTAATTTCGCAATATCATTACGTGGCTAAATGTGACCATACTGGGAAATTGAACTTGGATGGGAAATTTCAAGCAGTAAGCTTTGGTTCTATCCCAGAAATGACACGTGCTGGAAACAACCTATCCGTAACCTTAAAAAAGTAGCCTCTGACAGGGAGCAAAAAAAGGTGCAGGTAGAAACACTCTGGAGAAGGGCTGATTCATGCTGCCACTAACGCTGTCTGGTGACAGGGAAAAGGAGCGAACCAGCCCATCACCACAGCAGATAAAACAGCAGTACAAATGCCAGCACGGTCACCTCCTCAGTTAGCTAAAAGTCAGATCCCCACTCTCTCTCCTATCTCAGTATATTTCTCTACTGAACACTAGCTCTCTTATTTTCCAAGAATAAGAGGTATTAATGAGATTTCTTTCCAAAGGGGAATTATTTCTGCTATCGACTCCAATTTCCTGAGTCTGAATCTGTGAATTAACTTATTCAGTGGTGCTGCTTGTTTTGCTAATAGAGGAACATTAGTACAGTGGTACCTCAACTTACAAACTTAATCCATATTGGAATGGTGTTCGTAAGTTGAAATGTTTGTAAATCAAAGCACCATTTCCCATTGAAATGCATGGGAACGGGTTTAATCCATTCCAGCAATTAAAAAAAAAAGAATACCAAAAATAAAAATAAACAAAGCAAGTCGCATGCTGGGGCTGCAAAAAAAAATCACCAAAAACAAAACAACGCCGACCCTCTATCCCCCCCACCAACAAAACAAAAAACTTTTTTAAAAAGCAGCACCTTACTGGTCTGAAGCCTCCTCATCCTCCCAGGCTTCCATCACTGTTGCAATCGTTGTGGCCGGAAGGCTTGAGCCTCCCAGCTCGCCTTCCACTTGCTCCACGCCACCCTCCGTGGGCCAATGGCGGGAAATTCAAATGGCGGAGGGCGGCGACGAACGAGGGGAAATTCAAATGGCGGAGGGTGGTGAGGAACGAGGAGGAGGTGAGCCGGGGGGCAGTGGCTAAGCGCTCAGCCAGCTCAAGCCTTCTGGCTCTGGGCTACCCCTGCTGCATCCCTTTCCCTAACTGTTGAGATGAAAGAGCTACAAAGAAGCAGCCTCTTTGCAACCAACAGTTTAATAAATTCAAATTTCCCACCATTCCACCCTGCCTTTTCGTGTTCATAAGTCGAAGCTCCGTTCGCAAGTCGAAGCATCATTTTGCGAACGGAACCGTTTGTAACTCAAAATGTTCGTAAGTGGAGTCGTTCGTAAGTCGAGGTGCCACTGTATTAATTAATATTCTTTGTAGTGAATGAAGAATTAGGGGGTTTTTGTAGTTTTTTAAATTCAATTTGCTGAGTAAAACTGATGTTTTGAAATAATTTATGTAAGAATATTTATTATAACATTTAAAATGAGACGTTCCTTTCAAATTACTTACATTCAAGGTATCCATTTCCATTGCTATGATGAAATGTTATGCCTAGAACACTTGGTCATTTTTTATTTTATTGTCCCCAGAATGTCACATTTTCAGCCTCTGGCTTCCATATATAATTCAGCAAATTCAAGACAAAGATAATGAGTTGTGTTCCTGTGTTACAAGAGCTGACACATTTTGCCATACTTTAATTAAAATATTAAAATATTTGATGGGCAAGGACTGCATAATGTCAACAGCATATTTCTTAAAGGTCACATTCAATCACTGTTTTCTCCCTGTCCTGACATTTATGGTTCCCATTGTGTATGGAAAATAAGGTCACTAAATGGGAGTGTTATGAACTAAGTCAAAATTGCACATCTAGGAAATAATATCAGGGTACCTGAATGCATTGTTTTTCCCATACAGCATGCCTGTCAGTTTATTATTATTCTTTTATTTATCACTGCATTTTTAAAAAAGCTATGTTTTTCAGTTTGTGATGGAGTGTTTATTTTCTTAGAAATAAAGCTTAGCTCTTTTTACTAATGACTGATTTGCAAAATACATCGCATTAGAGATGACAGCAGCAATGCTTGTGCTTCAGAAGGTTACATACCAGTTTAGATGTTTGTCGGAGATAGTTTTGCAAGAATATAAACCATTCTCAGTTGCCACTTCTAATGAAATGAAGATCTTTGGAGAGCCACTAGAAGGTAGTGGTCAGAGAATCAGACTACACCTCAGAAAGCCATTTATTATTATTCTTTTATTTATCACTGCATTTTAAAAAAACCTATGTTTTTCAGTTTGTGATGGAGTGTTTATTTTCTTTTTAGCTCTTTTTACTAATGACTGATTTGCAAAATACATCACATTAGAGATGACAGCAGCAATGCTTGTGCTTCAGCAGGTTACATACCAGTTTAGATGTTTGTCAGAGATAGTTTTGCAAGAATATAAATCATTCTCAGTTTCCACTTCTAATGAAATGAAGATCTTTGAAGAGCCACTAGAAGGTAGCGGTCAGAGAATCAGACTCGACCTCAGAAAGCTATGGATGTCTTATGTTGCCATGAACCATACTAGGTGCACCATGTGTTCCCAGTCAGTGTAGAAAATCAGTGGAAAATCAATGGAAAAATAAATTAGAGGAGAACTGTGTGTGGCAGATGTATGTTGCAAATATATGCCTTTGGAAATATTTCATGGGAAGAAGCATAGCTTATTAATAGAGCACATGCTTTCCTCTGTCTCTGACATCTGCAGGTAGAATTGAGAAGTCTCTGGCCCAAAACCCTCAGAAGTCCCTATAAGCAGAGTAGCCAGCCTAGCAGAGTCCCATGCCATATGGTTTCAGGACTAAGGACTGAGCCCAAGACAAGCCCTTGTGATATGCTGGGGAGGAGAACAGATTAATTAGCAAAATAATTCATGTGAAGGACGAAAAATAAGAATTCTCCCATACGGTTCACAGGTTGACCGTGTCCTACGTTCAGAGATCTCAGATCCAAAGCCTGTGACTTAGAGAATGGACACCAAACCTGAGTTCCAGGGTCAAAAACTGACTCCTGGCACCCTTAAATGTAAGTCAAGGTGGATGACACAGGTTGTCTAATGGGTTGACTCAGCATACACTAATCAGATATGCCCCAAATGTAAAACACAGGTGACAAATTAGTTTCTTTTTAGTAACCATAAGCCATTTATGAACAGAACCTTCCATCATAATCTTATGTATTCTACTCATAAATGAGTTTACCACTTAATTATCACCTAATTATGATGATAATGGAATTTATGTTACTTATTACTTTTACATTTATGACACTTAGAATCAATAAAAGAAATGTTTATTTTATATCCCACATTTTTCACAATGTTGGAATCCAAGAGGACCCATACCATGATTAGAAAAACAGGTACTGTTCAAAACAGAATAGATGGTAATATTAAAATTATATGAAACAGACTATCATCTTAAAACAACTTAGGTTAAAACAATTTTAAAATCGGGGGGGGGGGGCAGTAGCAGTCCACAGCAGTACTGCTAAATGCTCCCCAGAAACCATTCAGTTGCTGAAAGTTTGCTTGGTTTTTTAAAATCAGTATTGGAAGGATACAAGGAAGAGCTGCTGCCTTGGCAGAACGTTCCACAGAAGTCAGCGCCTTGCATCCTCATCGAAAAATGTCTGTGAAGGTGGTAGGCTTGACAGAAAGCCCTCCCCTCAAGATCTTCACACACAGTGTAAGGAATTGCAGGCCTTCCTCTGCTCCCTCCTCCTTTTCTTTTAGAGAATACTGTACTATATTTCTTCGGATATAATGCAAACTTTGCTGGCTCACATTTGAAAATCATCTTGTTGCAATTGCTATGTTGCTTGTTACTTCCAAGCTCTGCTTCAGATGCTATAACAATACATAGGCGCATTATTTTTGTTGTTGCTGCCACTGCTGGTGTTAAAGGTAAAGGTAAAGGTTCCCCTTGACATTTAGTCCAGTCATGTCTGACTCTAGGACGCGGTTCTCATCCCTGTTTCCAAGCCGTAGAGCCAGCGTCAGTCCGAAGACAATTTCCGTGGTCACGTGGCCACCGTGACTAGATGCGGAACACCATTAGCTTCCCACTGTGGTGGTATCTATTTATCTACTCACATTTTTACATGCTTTCAAACTGCTAGATTGGCAGGAGCTGGGACAAATGACGGAACCTCATTCCGTCACGTGGATTCGATATTACGACGGCTGGTCTTCTGACCTTGCAGCACAGAGGCTTCTGTGGTTTAACCCGCAGCGCCACCACGTCCCTTCACTGCTGCTGTTAGGCCCTATCAAATTACTTCCAAACTCATGGCAACTCTATAAATGAAAGCTCTCCAAAATGTCTTCTCTTTAACAGTCTTGCTCTGCTCTTGCAAACTCAAGGTTGTGGCTTCCTTTATGAAGTAAATCCACCTCATGCTTGGTCACCTTCTTTTCCTGCTGCCTTTTTCTGGCAAGGAAGCTCTCACCTTTATTAGCTCTTACTTAGGAACAAGTGTTTTTATCAGGCTTGAGGCACTGTTGACTTGTACATGACAAGGCATTATTCTTTTCAATGTCCAGATGGCGGATCGGGTCCTTGTCATTGGCAGTGGAGGAAGAGAGCACGCTCTGGCTTGGAAATTGGCACAGTCTCCTCAGGTGAAGCAGGTTCTGGTCGCTCCAGGAAATGCTGGAACAGCAAATGATGGGAAAATCTCAAATTCAGGTAGAAAGAATAACGTCTGAATATGTCCTTAAATGAAGGTAGAAATTGAGGAACAAATTCTGTTTATTGAATCCTTATTTAATAAATTAACCTAAAGTCATAAATGTTATTTGCACAAAATGGATAATCTTTTATTGCTTAAATATGAGATTTTAAATTTTACAAATATTTTATTGTCAAGTGCTGAAATATAAAACATTATAAAATACAGTAAGCAAAAGCCCAGGAAAATATATTAGCTAATTTTACTGTTCAGCCCATGCACCTTTCTACCTTGTTTATGTACCATACCTTTTATATATATCACATGTTTAGTATCCAGGTGTTAATCATTTATTGTTTAGGACCCAGATGTTCATCATTTATCTTTGTTATCCATTTTCAGCTGTTTTAATTAGCAACCATACTATCCTTGCCCAGTTTTGCAAAGATCATAACATTGGATTTGTGATTGCTGGTCCAGAAGCTTTGCTTGCAGCTGGTAAGAGCATCTCCCAAAGCATAGAGCTTGATTCTTGATTTAAAAATATAAGTCTGATCTTGGGTTGCAGAAATGTTATACAGCCCTGAGCAAGGAACCCAGTTCTGTGCACACTGTGCCGGCTGAGCAGAGAACAAAAAGGGTCTGAAATGGTTCAGTCTTGGCAGCTAGGATTGGCCTGCTGTTCTGGTGCTCTCAAGCATGCCATTTTGGCTGCTCTCCCTCTTAAGAAGCCAGAGATACACCTACTGTATAATATCATTCCCCAAACTGGTGCCCTACTGACATGCAGGACCAGAACCCCCATAATGCCTATCCAGCATGACATATTACATCTCAGACAGCGATGGAAGCCTCAATGGCCTTCCAGACATTCTGAGAATACAGTTCCTATCTATCTTAGCCAATGTAGCGAGTGGTGAGAAGTTAGGGGAACTGAAGTTGAAAAACATCTAAAAGACAACACAATTGTCTGTCCTTCATCTAGAAAAGACACAAGTTGTCTTACTGGACCAGAGTAAATGTCAATGTAATTCCAGAGTAGCCAACCAGATGTTTCTGAAAAACTACCAGAGCGTAATAGGGGAAAGTCATCACGTGATTCGTTCCAAACAATCATAGAATCATAAAAAAAATTAATTGAAAGGGACCTGTAAGGCTATTGAGTCTACCCCCCATGCTCAGTGCAGGAATCTAAACCTAAGTAGATCTGACAAACAGTTACCCAATTTTCTCTTGAATGCCTCCAGCATTGGAGCACTCACCACCTCCTGAGGTAATTGTCACACTGCTCCAACAATGCTGAACATATTTCTTTATTCTTGGTTCCTTACTGGGATAAAACATCAAAACAGAGCTCAATGATTCTGCCCTCCTAAAACCCAAATTAAGCTCTAAAACAAACATCACATTCCATCATAATAGTGAAATTCTGCCTTTCAAAATACAAAAACGAGTATTTCCAGCCAATATAGTATTTTTGTAATGTGTCACCTTGGGTGACAACTGGAAATGAAGAACTGGGTTTTTATTCCAAGCATCTGATAGCTATTCTTAGTATTGTGATTATAATGTAACCATAAAGACATAAATGATTTTGGGATTGCTGAGGGTGGTACAATAAATAAGTGTTTCCATATAGTGAGGGTGATGCCATTCAATTTAATTGCTTTTACATAGATAGCCCAGCCAAATAGCCCATGTCTATTTAAGATCTATTAGTGAGACTGGGGTAAGAAATAGTTAAATAGGAAGTTAAATTACATCGGAAGTTTTGTCTAAACTGTTCAGTATTTTATTCATTATTAGGAATTGTTGATGACTTAATAGCAGCTGGAATTAGATGTTTTGGCCCTACAGCCAAGGTGGCACAATTGGGAACAAACAGACATTTTACTAACATTTTCCTTGATGATCATGGAATTCCCACAGCAAGATGGAAGGTATTTTCAAATCCTCAAGAAGCTTGCACTTTTATTAACAAGTAAGTGTTATTTTTCCCTCTTAGCTTATGAACAACTGGCTGTTCATTGGATGTTATTATCATAAAAGAAGCTTTGAGTTTTGTAGCCCATCTTGTTTTAAAATGTGTTTGCTCCTAGGTAGTGCATTCATACAAGGTGCATCAAAATGGGAGGTATTCAGAGGAGGCAAATTTGAGACAGATGTTGACTGGTTTAAATTAGTTTGTCTTTTCTGTCAGATGTATGATTCCTCTGAGTGTGTAGTGTAAAGCCATGATTTTATTTTTAATGTGTTACATTTAACTTTAAAGTGCAGATTTCCCTGCGTTGGTGATAAAGCCTCATGGCTTTCGTCCTAGAAAAGGAGTAATTCTTGCATCCAACAGAGAGGAAGCTTGCAAATTCACACAAGAAATTCTGCAGGTGACTTATATTCTGTGTTAAACTATAGTTAACCCTTCAAAACTCAGATGAATTAAGCTGCTGTGTAGCAAAGCTTAAATCAATATAAAAATAAGTTACAATACATACTGTGTATATTCAGTACTGTGATGTGTACGCCATGTTTCCCATAGGTACAGTATATTAAGTTGAAATTAATAGGCAGACCTTTCTTAAAATTATTCTTGAGATGCTATTGCTCAAGTTGTTGCTTTGGAGTCCTACAGAACCTTTTAGGGGTAAAAAAGGATAGAAATGTTTTGCAGAAGTAAACAAATAGAAGTTATCAATGGAACCGTGTGGAGTGTACAAAACTAGGAGATGAGTTTGCCACTCAGTTAAGCTGATGGTAAGCTGAAATGTTTAAGTGACAGTGCTTATTGGATGTGTTGTTCATCTCCCACTCAAACTGCTGAGGTGATTTTTCTTACATTCATAGGCCCAAGATACTGCCACATAGCACAATCTATCACCAAATACTCTCACTGTTATACGGAATCAAGAGCATATACATATAGAAATGATTTAATTTGTTGAAATGAATTGTATGATTTAGCCTGGCAAAAATTTATTAAGGACTTGACTTTAATACAGTGTGGTTTAAATGAAGAATCACAAGTGAAGTGAACAAAATTGGAAATAATCTGTAGATACCTTTTTCATTAAATAAAGAGAGGGAAAGAATGAAGATCTGACCAGTGGATGTTGTATTTATAATGCAGGACAACATCGTTGGACACACACAAAAGACAGTTATAATTGAAGAATTCCTCGAAGGGGAAGAGATTTCCGTACGTTTTATTATTACTTTTAAATAGGTTGCTTGAATTATTTTTGCATCCATTACAAATTTTAATTTGGTTTAGCACCACCAACAAAAGCAGTTTACATTAACACTTAGCCCAGCATTGAGCCCATATCAGTGTTCAATATTAGGATCTTCCAGATGGACCACTTCTTCTCCATATTATACATGGTTTATTGATAATGTTGTTGGTATTTTTCCTACCATCCACATGGTGGAAATGCTTGTCTCAGCATGTTCATTGACAAAATCTGACTTTGGTATCGTTTTCACCCACTCCTGAAAGCATAGTGTGCTTTATTTCTTGTTTCAACTTGTGCTGGGGGCTCAAGTTCAGTGCTGTGCTAGGGGATGTTTCCCCCCCTTTTTTTTACAAATATTTAAATACAGCCCATCTGTTCATTCTTCTTTTCTGCTTTGTTTTCCCACTGATATCAAAGAGTCCAAGCAGCTGACTCCCCAGATCTCTGAGCACTCTTAGTTGTTCCCTTTACTACAGTACAATTTCTGCTCCTTTTTTGAACTGTTGCAACCCTATGTAGTATGTTATTAGTTGAAATAAACAGAGAGCATGTGTGATTTCTCCTTCAAAAGTACCACTCAATTTCTGTCACTTCCTCACAGTGCTTGTGCTTTCTGGATGGAGTCACCTTTTCCCCCATGCCACTAGTCCAGGTTCAGAAGCCAATGCTGGATGGAGATCAAGGCCCAAGCACTACTGGAATGGGAGCTTATGGTCCTGTACCTAAGGTGCAAAACATATTTTGTTCACAGTCTACTTTCTTGTATAAAAGCTCAAATGACAAGACACCCTGTTTCTGGCAGTAATCTATTTTCTAAGGAACTTCTTTGGTGACATTTTCCATCCTCAGGGCCAGTTTTCGAAATAATGGAAAATGACGTTATCGGGGCAAGCTACTTTTATGGAAACATGCTTCTCTAGATGCAATATTTTCAATCGTGTTTATAATACATCATTGAGGAGAACCCTACTGGAAAGAATTCTCAGTGTGTGCATTTCCTATTGTTCATTAGATTCCTGAAGTTCTTCTGGCAAAAATTAAAGGCACACTTCTTCAACATATTCTGGACAGCATGAAACAGGAAGGAATGTCATATGTAGGTAGGAGTCCACACTCATTATTGGTAATGCCAAAGATGTATTGTTTGCACTGTAGATGATTTCTCACACATGATACTACTAGCCTGTGAAGTTTTCCTCAGTTGTTTGATGTGCATGTATTAGAGTCTTTGCATATTGAGAAGTGCTATTTTTCTCTCTCCTCTGCACAACTGGTTCTGAAGAATCCTATTTAACAAATGACACTTTCTAGGAGAGTTATTTTGTTATTGAAAAACTTGATCTTCACCAGTAAGAATTTCAGGCCTCTTGTGTTTTACTTCATTTTATACCCTAGTTTTGCTCTCCTAGCTGTGTGCTGTTTGAAGGTATTTATATAAATTTATTGTTATAACTTTCCCCTTAAGGTGTGCTACAAATGGAATTCATGCTTACCAAAGATGGTGTGAAGGTCTTAAGCATTGACTGTCATTTTGGTGATCTTCAATGCCAGGTAAAGGAAAGCTGCACAGCCAAGCAGGGTTTTTTAGCTGATTTCACAGTTCTTGTCTGATGAGAACTCAGAGCTATGAACCATGAAATTCCTGTTTGATATGTTCATTATGCCATTAATTCCCTTCATCATCTTAAACAAGTAGGAGTCCACACTCATTATTGGTAATGCCCAAGATGTATTGTTTGCATTGGAGATGATTTCTCAGACATGATACTACGAGCCTGTGAAGTTTTCCTCAATTGTTTGATGTGCATGTATTAGAGGCTTTTCATACGAGCGGAGTCACAACTGGTTCTGAAGAATTCTATTTAACAAATGACACTTTCTAGGAGAGTTATTTTGTTATTGAAAAAGGATCTTCACCAGTAAAAATTTCGGGCCTCTTGTGTTTTACTTCATTTTATACCTTAGTTTCGCTCTCCTAGCTGTGTGCTGTTTGAAGGTATTTATATAAATTTATTGTTATAACTTTCCCCTTAAGGTGTGCTACAAATGGAATTCATGCTTACCAAAGATGGTGTGAAGGTCTTAAGCATTGACTGTCATTTTGGTGATCTTCAATGCCAGGTAAAGGAAAGCTGCACAGCCAAGCAGGGTTTTTTAGCTGATTTCACAGTTCTTGTCTGATGAGAACTCAGAGCTATGAACCATGAAATTCCTGTTTGATATGTTCATTATGCCATTAATTCCCTTCATCATCTTAAACAAGCCACTGTCTCTGCAGTCTACATCATGGGGGAAAGAATGCTAACTGAATCTCACAAATTTAATACTGTACCAGGATTCTTTAAGAGGATGTTTTGAGATGCTTTGAATTCTCTAAAAGTACTACACAAACTGAGGCAGGGACCATTTATTGAACAGGGTAGGTTACCAGATAATGTCAGTGTGAGGGGATGTACTGTTGTTACCAATGTCAGAGTGGGGCACACCTCAAATTTAATTGGGTAAGTGGCCAAAGCAACAGCTGGAGGGGATTCAGACAGTGCCTCCATAAGTTCACCTTACCTTCACCTTTAATGACTGGCAAGGTGCAACACTGAGGATCCCACTATTATCTCTGATCACTAATTGGAGATAAATCACTGAAGAAGAGAACATTGCTTCCAAGAGGAATTTCTATTCACTAATTGAAGAATCACTGAGGAATACTTGTTCATCATCCCTAGTATAAATGCTGTTTAATTTATATTTTTGTCATTCTGTCTGCATTGCAAACATCTGTTAATATCCAGATGCTAACAACTGTAAAAGAGACTTATTTATCCCAATCAGTTATTTCTTATTTTATTTTACAGTGTGTTGGTGCTGTCTCCGTTTGCTTAATTTACAAGGCACTATGAAAATGTTATCTACAGAGACTTTTACAAAGTGTTATTTCAATTTTGAGTTATTGTTACCACACTTGATGTGCAATGCCAACATTTGCCTACTGTGTCCAATTTTACAGGTAGTTCTGCAGCTTCTTAAACATGATTTTTATGAAGTGATCCAAAGTGCTCTTGATGGCAGGCTCTGTGATTCTACATTGACTTGGTCAGATAATTGCACTGCTGTGTCAATTCTCATAGCAAATCAAGGCTATCCGGAATTCTGTAATAAGGGTCAAGAGATCACTGGTAATTCTTTCATTGATTATTATTCACCTTAGAGCCTCTATGGGCAGAAAAGAGATGAACAAATGCTTAAAATAATATTTTGAGCACTTCTATTAAAGATAAAACCAATAATCTCATTCAATATTTGTCACTATTTTTTGTCGAAGAAAAATATTGGCCAGCATCCCATTAGCAACCTATACATGTGTAAGGGACATTACATGGGATGCAGTACCAAATTGGTACTCAATATTTAGACGCTGGTTGCATTCCTGGACACATGCCCAATCAAGCCCACAAACCCAACAAGCACCTTGTTCATGTGCAGCAATTTGCTACCAATATTTAACATTATTTCCTTTATGCAAATATAAATCACCAATAAGATTCTGGCCACTGTAATAATTCTCTTAATCATCTAGGCCTAAAATGCAATTGCTAGTCCCAACTAGAGAAGATGCATTGAATTGGTTGCTGAGAACTAATGAACATTTATATAAATCTCACTGATTCTGTGGATTGAATTTAATCCATTATACTTTAAATTATTTATTAGGTTGCAATATTCACTTACCCATGAAACAGCACAGTTGAAATAAATGTATTTATATAAATCTCACTGATTCTGTGGATCTAATTTAACCCATTATACTTAAAAAATATTTATTAGGCTGCTTACCCATTCACTTACCCATGAAACTGCACAGTTGAAATAAATGGGACTTATTTCTGAGTGAATATGCATAGGATTCTACTTTTCATGTCTCTGGTGATCCAAGAGTTTCAAGAGGGAAAATCTGAATAAGATGAGAAGTAAAATTTCACTCCTCCACATACGTAAAAAGTTTAGTCCCATTCATTATATACCTTACAAGCCAGCAATACAACCAAGAACATATTATGCAAATCATAATGAAGCCAATTTTCCTTTTAATTTTTGTAGGACTCGGCCACGTTACAGAGTTAGGCCTGCAGGTCTTCCATGGAGCTACCATACTGAAGGATGACAAAGTGTTGGTTAATGGTGACAGAGTCCTGACAGTAACAGCTATCAGGCAAGACCTCCTGTCAGCACTTGAAGATGCCTACAAAGGACTAGCAGCCATTTGTTTCGTGGGTGCTTCTTACAGAAAAGATATTGGCTACCCAGCACTCAGGTTCCTCAGACAGTCTGGGTATGTATATACTGTATACCAAACAGATAATGGCTGAAATGCTCTTGTGCAGGTCTGTGTAGCCAGTGAGGATGATGCCAGCAGCAGAAGCAAATCACCTCCACTGATTAAAGGCTTTCTTCGGCAATTTGCCTTTAATTAGTGGAGATTTGCCACTTCTCATGTCTTCCCCACTGTCTACGAAGTGGCACAGCAGGATTCCAGCCACTGTGTTCTAAGACAGTGATTGCTGTATATCATTGGAGTTGGAATGTTACAAATATTTTCCACATTTTTATTATAGCCCATCACATGGAGATAGAATTTCAGAGTCCATAGCTTGTAATGTTTTGATTCACCCACCTAAGCTACAAGCTGCAAATGATTCCAAATCAGGTAAGAACAAAATAACAAATTTCAAAACAATTTTTGGTACATATTGTTCCAATATGAACTAAACCACTGCATCGCAGAAGGTTTTTTTCATTGTTCTTCCTAACTGTAGAACAATGTTCTTCCTAACTTTTATTCAGCTCTTTGCGTGGGGATGAACAAAGAGCAAGATACTTCTTAATGAAGAGAAAAACAGCTCTCTCCTATAAATAAACTTATTTAGGAGTACAGTACTTGGGAGTTAGTTTATGGGCAGGTGCACTGTAGAGTTTTAATTTTCCTATGTCTTTCAGCTTAAAGTATCTTGGTCCTTTTTGCATGTTTTGCACTTAACTTCTTTAAAATTGTTTTTTTCTTTGTTGTTTATGCACTTTGAGGATATAACATTTATTATAAGCCCCTTAGGGAATAGCATATTAATCTTAATATATTTATGAATTCTGTAAAGAAATAAATGCACCTTTCTCTCACACAGGAGTATCTCTTCATTATGTAAAAAACTAAATGTGCTTCTTGCTTTGAAGCACATTACTTTTATTCAAGTGCAAATGTAACTGGTTAATTAAGCAATTGACTAAATATAATATGCATACAATTTTGTCATCTTTATATTAATTATAGAAGTAGACAAGAAACTATTTCTGTACTTTGTACATGGGTAGGTAACTTAATAACATGTTGTCATAAGCTGACATCGCAGGACAGTAGTGCATATAAAGCTTCTTTTTGTAGAAATGTTGACACATCTCTTTTGTTCTAATTAATATCTGAATAGAATAAGTAAACAGCTGTCTGAGGAAGGTATTACATTGCAGGACTGGCTAAATGCAAAGCCTGCTGCTAAGCTTTCACCTCCTGTTAGTGGTAGCATTTGCCATTTGCTACTTTGTATACTGTACTATACATGCTACCTAGTACATGGAAGCTCAAATATTTGCAAAGGAGAACCTAGTGTACTCGTAGTGGTCCTGTTAGTGGTAGCATTTGCCATTTGCTGCTTTGTATTGTACTATGCATGCTACCTAGTACATGGAAGTTCAAATATTTGCAAAGGTGAACCTAGTGCACTCGTAGTGTTTACTAACCTTGAGTTCCCAAATGTTCTTCGATTACAGCTCACAGAAATCCTGACCAGCATAGCTTCTGCGACTTTTTGTCCAAGACCGTCTGGAGACCCAAGTTTGGGAACCCCTGTACCTTAGCAGTAAATACAGACTTGCTCTAAGAGACAGCTTCCACATTTCAGACATTTTACCAAGGAATGTTAATTGGAAATCAGAGTTTGGGAAAGATTTTTGGTTGCATATTCTCCCCTCGATACAACTCCAACAAGAGTATGGATTTCAAAGAGAGAACAGTAATAAGGATATCAAGCCTTTAGCACTTATGCTGTTGCCCACTGAATTTTTTACTTTTTTGTATTTTACAGGTGGCCATGGCCATCAAGAGAACATTCCTGTCTCCTTTGATTTGAGAGCATCTGGTTATATCGATCCAATTCTAGTGTCCCAAACTAAAGGCATTGGGGCAAAAGTGAAGGTAAGCAGAGGTATGCCTCTACTTAAGCTCGTATTGTACATGCACGCAATCTTATGATGAAAAACTACAAACTTATCCCTGTTAAGTTAGGAGGGAATTACCTTGAAATAAACACAAGATGACCTCCACATACTGTACATTTTAAGCCACTTTACATTTTCAGATCTGTAAAATAAAGAGGTTTTTGGACTAAGTCTACACAATATGAGACCTACCAAGCTGAATATAGCTCATTCCTTTTATACAGCAATCAACCAGATCTTAGAAGTAACATTAACATTGCTAGTTATATTGGTATTATTAAAAACAAAAAGGACCAAAATACTTGGTATTAATCCCCTTTTCCAGCACATTATGATCTTAATTTAAGGAGGGAAAACTTTACTCTTCTTGCTGTGTAATTTTTAGTTGCTTTCATAATAACTGGGGATGTGACTCAATGTGTCATTGAGTGTTGGTGGAGGAATATCACAGGGTTCAAGCTCTGTCTCAAACCCTGCCTCATGCTCTGTTGTGGACATGGACGTGACAAGGTGGATGGGAAAAGTTTGTGTTTGTACCAGAGGACTGTGGCTTATTTCATTCAGATATTTTTTATGTTCTATGTTAGATACTTTTGAGAAAAGCAGAGAGTTTATTTTTTAGATTGTAGTTCTAATTGTAATTAACTACTGTTTGTGACTTTCTATTATAACAGTAGCAAGTTAAATAACCTTTTTAATTGTGATATTTTAAAAAAAAACACCTTTCTTTCCCCCTGTGTTCTCCCTGTCCCTTTTGCTGTTTGTCTTAAGACTTCAAAATCAGGGAATTGTAAAACTCCTTCTATTCAGTGTTGGTTTGATGAAAGCTGACAGAAAACAGCCCTGATTCTTCTTTGTTTTTGTTTTGTTTCGTTTTGAAATATTTAAGAAACAGGAGAGGTGGCTCCAAGTGACCTGGAGGTGACCACACTATAGCATGCGTTTGAGTCGCTGACACTGAGGAGGACCCAGGACAGCCTTCCATTTGTGTGCCAAACATTTGTTACCTAAGAACCTCTCAGCTGTTGAAAGCATTATTGGGAGTGGTACTGAAGACTCCAAAGCTTTTGGTCTTGACTTAGGAGCTTGTCAGGATCAGGTTGGGATTTCCTGCCCACTAGGATGAGCACTTGGAAATCTGGTTTGGGATTCACCTGGCCACAGTGGCTGGGGAATTCTAGGAGCTGAAGTACAATGGTATTTTTTTTCTCTTCTGGCTCTTACAAGCATGTGCCTGTGTCAAATAATATCTAGTCCCCTACACATGGCAAGACATACATTGGGTCTAGTTGTTTGCACTGGCTTAGGAAATAATGATACATTAGCTGGGATGATAGAAACTGCTGTTATAATGGAGAATTCTGTTATTATATTAAAATTCTTTCTTGCCACTTTTAGCTCTTGATGGGAATGGTGGACCAATTCTGATGGTCCATACCTAGAAGCGGAAGATCTGTATGAATTCCTATCTTATAAGGAAATTCCCTGGGGAGTGATGGAATCACTGTTGAGCATCCTTGGCTGAACAATTGAAGCTTAGCAGCTCTTTAGTATTCTGGGGAACTCTGGCTATAGAGGAAGAGAGGAGTCTCCCCTTTTCCCTAATAATTCATGAAACCCATCTTAGCATCAGAGCAATAAGTGGTTGGCTTTTAGCCAATATGTCTGATACATTCTGAAATAACATTGTATAGATGTATAATATTGTATATTGTATGATACTGTATAGAACAGCACAACATTTGCATTACAGTTCAAGACTGATGGCCTCCTTTATTACAGATTGCCCAGCTGTGCAACAAGCATGATATGATCGGTCAAGACTTGGTTGCTATGTGTGTCAATGATATCCTGCTCCAGGGAGCTGAGCCCCTCTTCTTCCTTTACCATTTTTCTTTTGGGAAACTGGATGCTGGAATAGCCCAGACAATCACAGATGGGATGATTGAAGCTTGTGAACGCGCAAGCTGTGCAGTCCTTGGTATGGCCGATGGGTTTTTATGTCGTGCTTCTTCTGGCCTTCATAAGCGTCCTGTTTTTGTTACCATAAAACAGAAACTACGAATAATGTTTAAATAACGTTTAAATGCCTCGCTATTGTGTAGGTTAAGGTGTACAGATACAATATTTGGGGGAGATTGGGACATGGAAGTAAGTGCGGTGCTCCAAAGACTGGGTGGGGTGCCCTCTCAAACTTCTAGAGGTTGCCCACACTGAATTCTATCTGGACTGTGAAAAGCAAATTCCATGGAATTTGATGGTATTTACAGCACTGTCATTGATATCTCCTTTTTTCCTAGGGAGAAAAATCAATGAAATGTCCAACACATGGGCACCTGGAGATTACAGCCTTGTTGGCTTTGTAGTCGGTGCTGTGGAACGAGAAATGAAGCTTCCTCAGTCTGAGAGGATTCTTGATGGGGATCTCCTAATTGGAATATCTTCTTCTGGCCTTCACAGCCAAGGATTTAGCCTTGTGAGGAAGGTTCTTTTAACATCACCCCTACACTATCTATCCCTCGTTCCTGACGGGTGTAATACCCAAACTATAGGTATATAAATATTTGGCATTCTTTTCTTCAGAAAAGTTTCTCGTTCAGCTGTTAGGGGCCAGTGGGCTATTAGGAAAGTGTCCCACCTCAGGTTCTGGGTACCCTGGGTTAGCGCACAGCTACCCGCCTCCTATCAGAGTTAAAGGGTCCCCTTTGCTAAATTCCCAGCTTTACGCATTCTGGCTGAAGCCCTGTTGTTTATTATATTAAATCAAAACTAGAGTAGGCCTATTGAATCATTGGAATGCAGAAGGGCAGGGCAAAAATGAAAGCAGTATGAGGTAGGAACATTTCTGATTAGAGAACATGATACATTTGTCTTCTCTTTGGCATTTCGTCCTCTGTGTGTGTGTGTGTGTGTGTGTGTGTGTGTGTGTGTGTGTGTGTGTAAGAGGGGGTGGGGGAGAGACAGAGAAAGCAAAAGGGCAGGGCAAGGATGAAGGCAGTTTGAGGTAGGAACATTTCTGATTAGAGAACATGATACATTTGTCTTCTCTTTGGCAAAGTTGTGGAGTGAATGAAAGAAGGGTAGGCAGGGTGGATATAAATAAATACCCTCCTGCCTTTGTGTGTAGATGCTTGCCTGCCTTTTTGTATGTGAATACCTGGCTCTGCCCACCATTGGCTGTTGTAGATTAAGCCACCAGCGATGATAGGCACCAGCCACCACTCTTAGCAAATGTGGAAAAATAACTGAATATATCCTGCCTTTGTGTGTAGATGCTTGCCTGCCTTTTTGTATGTGAATACCTGGCTCTGCCCACCATTGGCTGTTGTAGATTAAGCCACCAGCGATGATAGGCACCAGCCACCACTCTTAGCAAATGTGGAAAAATAATAGCGCTGAATATATATGTCTCTAGTTTTATACCCATTGCACATTTGTTTGTTTCTCAGTATTTCTACTGTGTCTCTTTTTGAAGTTTATTCAGAAACATATTCACTATCATCCCAGATGGTTTCTGCCTCAGAAACAAAAATTAAATGTCTTGTGATAAGTAAGGTGTCTTACACTGGTTGCTAAAAATTAATCATCGAACCATGAATGATCTTATTTTCTATTTTATATAATTAATTGCGACCTATTTTCACAGGAGAGCTGTTGCTAACTCCAACGAAAATCTATAGCAAGGCTTTGCTGCCTGTTCTGCGCTCAGGAAATGTGAAAGCCTGCATCCCTATTGCTGAAAAAGGGTTAATTGGAAGCTTTTTCCAAATCCTTCCTGAACAACTTACTGTAGTCTTGGGTAAGCCAAAATGTGTGTACAATAAATTCTCTATATTAGTTAAATATATATCCTGCTTTCCTGTTACAAAAAAAGGATACAGTAGACCACTGGTTCTTAACCTTGGGTTACTCAGGAGTTTTGGACTGCAACTCCCAGAAGCCTTCACCACCAGCTGTCCTGACTGGGGTTTCTGGGAGTTGCAGTTCAAAAACATCCGAGTAACAAAGGTTAAGAACCACTGCAGTAGACCATCCGTTTATTTTATATTTTGTATCATTTATATGCTGCCATTCTCCTGGTGAGGGAACCCCAGGTGGCTCACCATTTTAAAACAAGTAATGTTAAAAAACACAATAAATTACAAATTAAAAAATAATTATACTGTAATAATAATTTAAATCCATCAATTATATCAAACATTAAAAAAACTTTAAAAGTAACTTTATCCCATCCTCTCTGTCCTCCACCATGTTTCAGCAGGCAGACAGATATGAATATCTGGTTCTCTATCATAGAAATTTTCTTCTGCTTTACATTAACAAGGGCAAATTTCAGACTAAAACCTCCAGGGATCTTTTGGTCTAAGTTCCACAGATAATAAACAAGCAGGAAAGAAACCATTTTCCTTTTGTCCTGCTTGCAACAGAAATGTTAGGTTAGTGTCTAAGTGCACAGCAAGGGCTTTTCTTGTCTTACACAATTTACAAGTGATCTTGATTTATTTTGTGATTGGTTTGTGGGACATAAGCATGGGATTCCTTAAGCCTGATTTCTCAAGCATGGAAGTCTGTCTCTGTCACATCTCTCCCACACTAACACACTTTCAGGTCTAATCATAGGCTACCTGTGATGTCTGTTTCTACTCTAAGCAGCCGTCTTCAGGACGTTTGGACCTCAGCTGTTTTTTTTTCCCTGTAGGCATTTAACTCAGAACTCCATACAAATTTTCTGTGCCAAATAGCAGCCTGAAGGTGTGCTCGGGCAGGAAATGGCAGACGATACAGCCAGAAAACAGAACTGTGGCTCACTGTGAGGCACGGGCTTCAGATGATTCCAGACTCACAGTATATTTAAGATCAGGAAGCTTGGAATATTGTTCTAGCAGTGCTTAGGAATAAGCAAGTGGTTGGAAGGGAACCTTAAATTCCCCAGCCTACTTAAGAATAAAAGAAACTTTGCTTTCTTATACAGTCACATGCTTTGGTGAAGCTGAAGAGCCTTTTAGAGTTCCTGGGTTTAGTGGGTTTGGAGGACTGTTTTCTTGATATGCAGGTCCTCCTGGGAAAGATTTGTCCACATCTGAGCAGTGGGCCAATTCCTTAGGATCAAAGGATGCAGATTTCACTGTCCCTAGGGCTCCTGATGCATAGAACTTTTATTTATGGTCAGTCACTGCAATGACTATCTGCTGTCATAGTGGAGAAACCCCATCCTTCCCATTCTCTGGATCTCCAGAGCTCTCCAACAGGATGGAGTTCTAATGGTAAGACAATCCGTTTCTAAAGGTCCTGCTCCGTTTTACTTATTGGCCTTAGAGTCTGACAGGAAAAACATCTTTTTTTTTTTGAAAGGAAGTCCTCACCCATTAAGTTCTCTCATTTCTCTCATTGCTCTCTGACTTAGTAGTAGTATATTACTTCCTCTCAATTGTGTCCGTTATGGGGGTTGAGCCTGGAGAAACAACCTGCAGTTTGGCTTTACTAAGAACAGAATAGAGTGTCTAACTATGCTAGCTGTTCAAGAATGGTACTATCCTTTACAAATACATTTGTTTTTAGATGCTCATAATTGGAAGATTCCTCTGATTTTTTCTTGGCTCCAACAAGAAGGAAACCTTTCAGAAGGAGAGATGCTCCAAATGTTCAACTGTGGGATTGGTGCTGTGCTAGTAGTTCAGAAGGAGGTTGCCAGACAGATTTTGAAGGATGTCCAGAAATACGATGACGCATGGCTGATTGGAGAAGTCGTTCCCTGTCTTTCAGGTTTCTGAATTTCCTGAGCAAATCTAGGCAAAACACGGGTTTTCTTACCAAGGTCACCAAAAGTATTCTAAAAACATTTGAAGTTCCTTTGAACTACTTGTATTAAGCTTCTGCAGCTGCAGTACTTAATGTTTGAAGAAGGGATGAAACCCCATCAAGTGCTAAACATTGCATTCCTCAGAGTAATTATCATCAGCCCAGAATGTCACCAATTCTTAGAAAGCTATTTGTGGCCGTTCTGGGGAGGCGTTCCAAATGCCTAGTTTCACCGCAATTTAGAATTAAAGGTTACATTTAGATAGACTTTGTCCCAATAGAAAGGGACAGGGAAAGAGGTATAAGCTTATAATGTATTCAGTATTTTTAATCCACTTCCAGCTCCATATGAAATATCACCATTGCCCACGTCTATAATTAGATCACAAATCTAGGGGGTTGACATGACTTGCACTGCTCTCAGAAGTAAGCTCCACTGAATTCAGTGGGACCTGGGCTGTGTGTAAGTTGTACTGAACTATCTGGGTTTTACTTCACAATAGACATATACTGCATCACATTATGAATTAGTTTTCTTGAGAGAAATAAACAAAAGTAAAGTCTCCTTCTTTTCTGATTATGGCTTGTATTTTACTAAGAAAAATGATGACGAAAAGTGTGTACACACAATTCACAATACAGTAGTTTGGATCCAGACGTGATCGTACTTGGAGTCACTGAGATCAATGGGACTTAACTTAGTCGTGACCTAACTACAGTAGTCCCTTTGATTTCATGTGCAATACCAAAAGCTGTTATTTGGCGTAGACACACCTAAGCAGAAATGTTAGAGATTATTTGCTTCCAGCTTTTTTAATGACATGGCAACAAGCATTCAAAATGCCAGCTTAACAAAAAGAATTGTCACAGGATGAGATTAAGCGGTTGCCACTAAATGTTACAACTATAAACATGTTATAATTTAACACATTTCTAAAACTGTTTGTTTTTAACTGCTCTATTTTGATTCAAACAAGGGAAGCCTCTGGCCTTTACCTCAAACAAGCATAGCCCTGCATTTCAAAGGAAATCTTCATCCGAGGCACAAGTGGCTTGTTTACTTCTGAGCAAATATGTGGTCTCCTGAAGTGCTGATAACCATTATATTAATGAACACTGAAGGGTGGGTAGCTGGAAGGAGAGGTCAGGATGACTAGAAAGGAAAGTCACATCCGGAAGACTGCACTTTATATTTGGGAAAGGGAACCTCTGGCTTCCAGATTCTGATCTGGTCCTCCCAAATGGTCATCACCTTTTCTTGACATGACCACATTTCCCCCACTCTTCGAGGCTGGGCAGATGTTTTTGAAGATCCATGCCACCATCTCTACTAATATTGCAGTATTATTTATATATTTATTTCTGCATGTAACCAGCCATCTTTCTTTTCTTAAGGGTATTGTCAGCTAGAAATCAAGAACCTTCTTGCGGTATTGCTGCAAAACAAATACCCATTCCTCAGGAATATTTCTACTGTAGACAGGCAGCTCCAAACAGTACGTACGAAAAACAAAGTGAAAGTGGCTGTTCTTACCTCAGGAACAGGTGAGGTTGACATTTCACTGCAATCTATATCCATTTTTACAATGCAAGTTAGTAAATGTGCCCTGCTGCAGGTAAGGTATGCAATTTTATCTGCTGTTTTGGAATCACCTTTGGCTGAAGGTGTTCAATCTCATCTTCGAACTGCAGAACTGGGATGGACCCTATGGATCATCAAGCCCAGCCCTCTCAAGGAGGGGAAGTGGGGAACTGACCTCCCAATCATTGAGCTCCATATTGAGCTCTGCTGAGCTATCCAACAGTTTTTCATTATGTTTGCATATCCCTGGAAACTCTTTGTGCATATATGCAGGTAGCCTTTCCGCTATTTATGTTCTCAATCAGATTAAAAGTTTAGCAGAACTTTCATTATCCAAGTATCATATCCTATTATATAGTTCAAAGTCATTATGAGATAATGAAATTCTGAAATTCTGCTCTGTGACTTACATCAACGACATCATCAGCCACAGTGATTTCTGGGGAAATAGTTTTTGTTATTCCCCTTCTCTGAAAAAGGTCATGAGGCTCCCAAGGGATCTCTTTCACCGGTGGAGAAGCCATTGAGGGTCCGTGAGGTGGGGGAAATCTTTAACGTTAGAAAATTGCGGTTGCCAGTAAAACCATTCCATTTGTAAATCATGGGGAATGTAGACTTCCAAGGTGACTTACAAATCAGATGCAACTAAAAACAGAAAAAAAAACTGCAATATACAATTAACCATATAATAATATTAAACAGACTTCTAAATTAAAATAGTTTAAAAGCACATTGTTTAAAATCAAAATTAGAAGGCAGTAAAATGAGCAGCATGTGTCATTTAAACTCTTCTTTTAGCTGTCTTATTCAGTTCCGGAAAGCCTGCCTTAAAAGAAAGGTCTTTGATCGCAGGCATAAGCATATCAGGGAATTGGCCAATCTGGCATTAGGGTTCATAAAGCAAGTCCCTGCCTAGGCAAAAGGATCTTCACCAGAGGGTAAAATCCTGTCCAAGAGGAAGTGCCAGCTAATCTGCCAGAGCAAAGTATTTCACAGTTGACCCTACTGAGAAGGCGTTAGGTAACTATATAAAAGTTTGTAAGCAGCTCTGAATGCTATCTTTTCATGGAAAGGCAAAGTATAAATGTAATTAATAATAATAGCAATAATAGTAACAGGCTGGAAGTTGACACTAGTTCATGTTCAAGGATACTGTGAGTGTACATTGTAGAATGTAGGGTTTTGGGTGAGGGTTGTTTGTCTTTTTGTACTGCCGGTACATGTTTTCTATGTACAATTGCAATTGGCCGTCTTTTTCTTATTTGAGGTACGAGCCTTGCAGCACTTCTCAAGTATGCAAAAGAGCCCGGAAGCTGCGTCCAAATAGCCCTAGTCATTTCCAATAGATCTGGAATGGAAGAATTGAAGACTGCAATCCTGGCTGGTATTCCTACCAGAGTAAGAAAAACATTTTTTTTTAATTTCATTTATATAGCTCTGTTTCTTGGGCTAATAACAACCTTGCATATGACTAACACTGGGCATTAGTGGGAGGGAGCTTTCACAAGCCAAGATGGCGGCCTCTTTTTTGCCATTCACCAATTAGAAGAATTCTTTTCCCCGCCTCTGGCATTTGAGGCAGGCCCCGCCCTTCCACACTTCCTCTTCCTATTTGTCCTGCTTGTTGACTTAAAAAGCTTTAAAAGAGTGGTTTTTAATATATAAAGTACTAGTTGTTGTGAAAAGAAGTAACTCTGAGCTATTCTTTTATCCTTTCTCTCTGCAGTCATTGTTTGTACCGGATACTCTTTTAACCAAAGGGAATTAACCAATTATCCAAAAACATGGTCTTACTCTGACCCACTGGAAATATATCTCCCTACTTCTTGCATTACATAACACTACACTGTAGTCAGCCTTAGAATATATTTAAATATGAGACAGTAATGTCAGCCAGATTGTGTGTGTCAGATCCACAACTGGTAATGTTCCACGTCTAGTTCCTTTGCAGTGACACTTCTCTGGAATTAGGCCTGTAACTAGGATGGCTGCAACCACGGCTTTCTCTCCCGCCCCCCCCCCGAAAGCAGAAACTTTATTTGGAAGGCACTTTTTCTTGGTTGGGGCTTGCCTTGTTTCAGGGCAAAATAGGTAGGAGTCAAGGCCTTTTGTACTGGTGTAGCCATTCTCCATGAGCATGGGATTAGGCCTTAGAGAAGTAATTCCTCTGTGTATTAATGTGAAAGGGAGCTTGGCTATTGCTGCTAGGACTCCTAATGTTGTTGCCTGGCATCAGAAAATACTACGTAAATCCAAACACATAACAAGAGCAGAGAATATTCACAATTATACACTGACTGAGAATCCTAAAAACCTGGGATTCATATACATACTAATTATGTACCGTATATGATCAGCAAGACAATGATCAGTATTTCAGTGTACTTCAACTGAAATGCTGGTCATTGTCATAGGAGTAGATGTGTGCACAAAGGATCAGTACATTACACGAACTGGGAAAGAATAGCAGGGTGTCTCTACATGTTTTGAACAGAGATGCATTACGAAGACCTCATGAATGTCTTCCAAGTGTACATCTGAATGCTCAAAGAGCTGCATGTATCTTAAAATATTGCAGTAGTTTACCATCAAAACTATATTAATTTCAGAGTTCACTAAATGGGTGTCTGTGCTCTTCTGTTTTGACAGTGGGATATTTGGATTATTAATTGTTCTTATTCCAGCTTTCATCATACCTTTTGTAGGTCATAGACCATAAACTGTATGGAAGCCGATCAGAATACGATGGCACTATTGACCAAGTCCTTGAAGAATTCTCTGTTGAGCTGATTTGTCTGGCAGGATTTATGAGAGTTTTTACTAGTAACTTCCTCAGAAAATGGAATGGTAAGCCACTGGGATAAATTATCATTATGATACAAATTTAGACGTGGAATGAGATCAGTTTGTCCATTCCATTCAGTTACTACAACAGGCCTGACACTGCATTTGTTCCATCCTATTACTTCATACTGTGTGCATCTTTTTTCTTGCTAGACAAAATGAGGAGGTCCATGTGAAGGCTGTCTTTATTCCCTTCCTGTGTTGTGGATGCTGCTATACAGAGTAAAAATGGGGGTGCAAATCTTCCTCAGGGTACCAGGATATCTATATGTATTACTACTTGCCATGCTTGGAAATATTGGCTGAAATCCTCTTACTCAGTTATGCTGGCATAGCCAACGACGGCATTACTTTTGGAGGTGGATTGCCCTAAATTAAGAAATATTGTACACATTACCAGTTGCACATTGCATTGTACAACTCAGTGTGCAATTGATAATCTTTATGATAATTTCTTGATAATTTGCCTCCAAAGGTTATAGTTATAAAAAAGGATTTGGGCCATTAGTTTTTTGGACTACAGTTCCCAAAGAGCCCCTGCCACCACGGCCATGGGCTCTCGTTACTTGCAGGGACATTGTATGGCAAGAAACATATTTTTTTCTCATACAATTTCCCCATATTTAGAGTGTGTACAGCAGCATTCACATGTTTTATGTTTGAAAGTAGCATGTATAGAAGCAATGTTAACTTGTGGTTTCAGTCCTTTGAAATGGAGAATTATTACTTGAGTGCATGTTCTCTTTTGAAAAGAAAACACAACACTTCTTTCCAAGAAAATAAGAAAACTTGTGTTCATTAGAAAAATGACACTTTTGATAGGAAAGGTGATAGAAATCCTTATTCTAGCTAAGAATGTCACAACACTGTGATCCACCTTGCCTTTTTTTTTAATTTTTTAATTTTATTTTCAAAACTATTGGGTAATGGGGGAGGAATACAAAAGGCAAAGGGCAGTGGGGGGATGGAAAAAGGGTTTTGAGAATAAGAAAACATCAAATGCATAATCATTCAATCTTTCATATCAAGTATATAAACATCTAATCTATTCATGTTCCAATAAAGGTTCATCTTTCTTCTTCTTTTTCTTCTTCTTCTTTTGACTATTTTGTCTATGTATTAACCTCTTTAGCTTTCAACTTATACGTGTAATACAGCTTAAATCTATGTTATTCCCACAGCATCAGAACACCAAGGCCAATTGTGAAATATATCCCCTCTTTCACCCTCCTTTTTTCTTGAGAATACACTCAACAGACCCAAAATAATATAAATTCTGCTCTCCCCTCCCCTTTCCTCCCTGTGCTTGTTTTGTTTCTGCGACTCTTTTTTCTTCCATATTTTAAAAGGGGGAACAATATCATTCAAAGTTTGCTTTTCAACCTCAATTTTCTTATCTACTATCGCTGCATCGCTTACTGGGTGGTCCTCCATCCCTTGTATATTATCTGATATCTTCATCAATACAGCCG